GAAAAGAGTTGCCAAGTTTGCTGAGAGCCTGACCCTTCAAGTGGCCTCCTGTGCTCATATGAAGATCTGCCAAAATCTGTCATGTCTGAAAACAAGACCTTTCTCTGTCTGGATGCAGCTACAGGACTAGAACCCATATATGCATATGCTAACAACTTTATATGTGAGCTTTGCACAAAGAGTATTAAGGACATTTTAATTGGCTTAAGGCTTTACATGGTTAGGCTTTCCTAGGTCTACTGACACAGCACAAAAAAAGGCACTTTGTGTATTCCACACCCATTAGGAGGTTCCAAGGTTTGTATTTAATTTCAAAGGATCTCAAAGAAATCTCATTTTCCTTAAAGAAAGACCAAGAGAATGCTTAGTGGCAGAGATACTTGAAGGGAGACAAGGTTTTGGACCCTGACTTCTCAAGTATAAACAGTGGGCCAGGACCACACTCCTGAACCACTAATAAAAGCTCTCTCGATGATTGTTGACTGTTTTTATTCTTCAGGTGAGATATGCATAGGAGGGGCTTGAGTCACCTGAACTAAAGCTGTGTTTTAAATGTGTGGGCACAGCAACTGACTCAGCTAGCACAAAATGTGTGATCAAAGTGAGGAAGAATTCCTGATGAAACCTCCTGCTGGGAAAAGGCAGATGTGTGTCATAACACCTTAAAGGAAGTCAGTCTGGAGGAGAAAAAAACTGAAGAGATTTGCCATACAAGTCACCCACAGGAATTAGCAAAGCTGACCAGTAGATAATACTACGTAAGAAGGGAAAATGGAATTGAATTTAGGACTAGTTAAACAAAAATACCACAAATGAAAATATATAGGCAAAGTTAACTTGAGTTCTGGGGTCTTCCATTATCGAGAAATACCCTCCTAGCAAACCAAAATGCCATTTTAGCTACAGTGAAAGCCACAAGAAATCTTTTTATAACCACTTGTACTAATGTTCATATTCTTGCATCCCCAAGCTGGAAAAGAAACAGCCTTTGTAACAAATTTAAGGCCTCTCTCAAAATTGCACACATTCATATATTTTTGTCACCAATCAAAACAAAGGGTCCAGAAGAGCAATTATTTACTGCTGGGCATTATGAAAAAATATCTCTGAATTAAATTATTTTCAATACTCCAAATTTTGAGCACATGAATGGAATTGTATTCTTTTAATAACAATACTGCTTTTTAAAGGACATTTTGCACTCACCCAGAGATACATGGAATTCTGAGTACAAATACACGCAAACCCCAACACTTAGTCAAGAATCTGCTTTTGTTTTTCTCGTGGTTGTTAATTTTTCAGAGGCAAACTGAAACAATTTCATCTGTACTGATTCTTTATAAAACTCACCCTGGTGCACAGAAACAAATTCAGTTTCACACCATACAAGACTTCAAAATAACAATACAGAAACTACCACATGAGGTGAATCCTAAGGCCAGTATGTCCAGTACTAGGTCTCTAAGAGAGGCAGGACCTCCAAGAAGGTTTAAGTGAGAACAATTTATGGTGAGTCACTGGTTTATTTTATTCTAGCTTGTATACCTTTTTGGATTATAGTTTGTTTGTGAATAGATCTCTCTGTGTATATGAAACCTGAGTGGAGAACAATTAGATGAATCCTGCGGTTTTGTTCAAGAGTAACACTGGCAACCGGATGCCCTGTGTGAAAACTGTGACTGCAATCTTCACTCCCAGTAGCTTTTCCTTATAATGTGCTCTGTATCTGCCAGGAACTTGATGTGCTAGAATAGTCCTAACTTGCTAAAACTTCTGAACATTTCAAAGAGGCACTGTTGGAGTACAAAAAACTTTGTCATGCCATTTACCAGAGCTCTTCTGCAATATGCTTTTCAGCTTTTTGCCCCAAAATAGCTATTTAGAGCTCTTAATATTTCATGGAGAAACCGAATTCACTCCTTGTAATGAAAACACAAGATGCCACCAGTAGCTCAAAAGAGCATGAAATGTAGATTTAAAATGAAAGAATTAAAAATAAGCATTTTCGTTTTGCATTGTCCTTGTCCATATAGAAAATTCCTGATCCACAACCTGTGTACTGCACAGAAATTGTGTAATAACAATAGACCCATACTTTTAGCAGGCTTTCAAAGCCTCTGAGAATATCAGTAGCCTTGCAAACCCTAAAATACAGCTTTTTGGCAGTTCTCATAAGAATTTTCATAAGAATTGTTGTTGACCACATATCTACAGAAAATTCTGTTATTGCACAGTATCACAACAGCAACCCAACTAGTAACTAGGCAGTCATGCAGGCTCACAGCTTCCGACTCCACAAATGCCAACAGAATAAGGGGCTCATAAAAAATGTGAATAATCTTAAAAATACTTTGATTCATGTTTTAAGTTGATAGGGAGATATGAAAGGTGCCAAATCAGCTTCCATTTCAATATCAATATTAAAGACCAGCACTGTCCTCCATGCTGTGCTGCTCATCATCACCTGGATTCAGCCAAGCCCCCTTACTTCATCACAGATATGTTCATAAGCTGGGATCCAATTAATTTATGGAACTGTACAGGATACGTACGAAGACATATCATGTCCATGGAGCAGCAGTGTCTACTGTAGCTCATTTTTTCTACTTCATAAAGGCTACAATCATCATCATTAAGGACAAAAAAGGCCACAAATTAAGCCAATAAGGAAAGTAAACACTTAATAGAATCAGAATGGTCTGAGTTGGAAGGGACCACAAAGATCATTTAGTTCCAACCCCCTGCCATGGGACACCTTCCATTAGACCAGGTTGCTCAGAGCTCCATCCAACATGGTCTTAAACACTTCCAGGAATGGGGCATCCACAGCTTCTCTGGGCAACCCGTGCCAGTGCCTCACCACCCTCACAGAAAGGAATTTCCTCCTCATATCTAAACAAACCTTCTCTCTTTCAGTTTCATTCCCCCTTGTCCTGTCACTACAGGCCCTTGTAAATAGTCTCTCTCCATCTTTCTTGTCGGCTCTCTTCAGGTACTGGAAAGCTGCAATTTGGTCACCCCAAGGTCTCACCAGAGCAGAGCAGAGGGGCAGAATCCCCTCCCTCCCCTGCTGCCCACATTGCCCTTGATGCAGCCCAGGACATGGGGGGTTTCTGGGCTCCCATGGCTGGGTCATGTCCAGCCTCTCACCCACCAGTACCCCCAATTCCTTCTCAGCAGGGCTGCTCTTGGTCTGTTCATCCCCCAGCCTGGACTGGTACTGGGAGTTGCCCTGACCCAGGTGCAGCACCTTGGACTTGGTCTTGTTAAACCTCATAGGATTCCTAATGGCACATTTCCTGAGCTTGTCCAGTATGAAACTTCTTTTGGGGATCTAATCTCTGCCTTTTGACTTATTTTCTCTAAAAAAATGTCATTGACTGACAGACATATTTTATCCAGAAACATGGACTAGGCAATTTTTGAGAGCAGTGGCCAAAGTTAGGAAGCATGGAGGGTCCAGGGAAGAGGTGGGAGAAAATAGTTTATTCACTACAAATACAGTTTTGATGATGAATTTGACTTAATTCTTTTAATTAAAAAATTTTAAAAATTGTTCTATCAAAGACATATTTGGAGAAATTTTACTGGATTATATTTATTTTTGTTTCAGAAAAATTATTAACAGTATTTAAAGAAACAAAGACTGTTAAAAAATAAATTTGCTATTTGAGCCACAATGATTTCTTTTCTCAGATTTCTTATAGTGATAAATAAAACAATTATTATTCCAAATCAATCAAAGAATTACAATTTAATTACAATGTATATCTTTAAAGCAAACACCATGACAATCTCTTCAGGAGAGACCGTAATATAAGAAGAAAAAGAATAGACAATGTTAGCAATCTTTTTGCTAGAGCTGTAAAAATTATATTATTAATGGATTATATATTATTGATAATTATATCTTGTAATGTTTTGAACAAAATACCATAAAAAAAATTTGAGCTATGGAACACTTTAACATGAAATAAGAGAAAGATTTACACAGGAACACTGTGATCTAATTTACTATTTTGTCTGTATTTGATTATTTTAACCAGGCCTAAGATGAGTCTATTGAAAAGCACAAGAACTTTAAATCTCAGGGAAACCATATCTGTATACTGTGAACACAATATTCCATCCAAAATAGCATCTTTAATTGATTTTGTCCACACTTGTCTCTCCCAACAAGATATCACATCACTGTATAGGAAGCATCAAAAAACGATCAAATGGGGTGTAGGCAACATTAAAGTTGTACTGTATGCAAATTATATTGCCCAACTCCCTCATTAAAACCCATAACAATAAAAGACACGGCCAAGTTTTTTCTGCAAACTAACTACAGCTTATAACAACTGAAATTCCACAGGTAAAACACAGAATCCAGCCTAAAAACCTATGCACAGCAAGAGTGTAAATTGGTGCTTTGCCTTAATGTCTTTGGTATCCAGCAAACCAGATCATTATCTGCAATTTCATTCATTTTCTAATTGTATTTTATGAATTTCAGATGTACAGAAATAAATTTCTGCTTATAAATTTCCAAAGACATCTCTACTTCCCAACACCCACTACAGTGTTGCTTTGCCATTCCTGTGATGTTAAAATACCATCCCTGGAGTTTTCAGCAGACAATCTTGTTTGCAATGCTGAAATACTGGTAGGTAAAGGGAGACTGACAGCACCCAGAAAAAAAAAAATCATTTGTAAGGTTTTGAAAAAACACAAAATGTGAAGAAACAAGGACAAGAGAAAAGAAGGTAGAGAAATAATAAAAATACACACATTTGGAAAATAAACTCATTTTCTAATTGAAAAGGGTAGAAGTCTTAAAATGTCAACTTTTTCTTTTTTTAATGACAAACTAACAACAGCATTTTGAACATATTTATGATATATTTTGCAAATTTTTTCCCAATAATGTAGAACACCAATCTCTCAGAATTAGTCATCAAATGTCTGGAAAACATTCTTATTAAAAAAAAATGTGACTATGTGTATTTGCTTACCTGGACAGTTAAGCAAATTCTGGCCTGAACAGAATGCATTGTAAAAGAAATCTGTAAAAGAGGGGAAAAAAGTTTCATTATAATTTATTTATAATTAAAAATTATAATTATTAAAAAAATTACTAAGTTTTGTAATGTTTTTAATGAAAAAACTTAGAAAAAAGTGGTTACTACTATAGAGAAACTGCAAGCAGCAAAATAATTCTAAACAAAAAGCCTCTTAAAATCTATCAGGTCACTGTTTTCGCAAAAGATTTCTGATTGTGTGACAGGATTACATTTATAGACAATAAAAACCAAACCATGCTATTCAAAAAAGGATTAAAGGTATCTGTTATGTAGGTGGTATCAACTTTTGTGTATTTTTATTCAAATACAAATGTGTAACTATCATTATTCCTTAAAGGATTCTCAGATGTCCGGCTGGTAAAAAACCCCCAAACATATATTTCTCATTAAATGATCTTCAGGGTATTTAAATATACAGAGTTCGTTTACTTCTATAACATTTCATATAAACACCATATCAAAAGAATGCTATTAAGACTGTAATGTGGTTAATATAAACGTCAGAAAATGCCAAATGTTAGCCTGCCTGAGCAACTTTTATTTCTTCAATTAGTATGGAATATGCTACAGTTGTTAATTACGTAGTCCCACAGTATTTCCATGGGAACTCCTCTTCAGTCCATGCACAAACAGACATTGAAGAAGTTCAAGCACTGATATTTTGTGTAAATTTCATTGATTAAGTTGTGGTCTGGAGAGATATTCATTCCAATCCTGACAGAAAAAAAGGTGATGCTTTTGCTGTGGTCCATATAGTCTAATCATGATTGCTTTGACTGTGTTGCAAACACTGCACAACTCAAGTTCAGCAAATTCCTTTGCAGGAAAAACATTGTCCCAGATGAGTTCCTCAGTGCCAAGAGATCAAGCTGAAAAGTGAACACTTAATTTGAGTCACATGGGCTCATTTTTTTTAGAGGACTCAGCATTACACTGGACTTCATACGTTAGAGATCCTGCACAGTGGTTTCAGACGGAGACATTAACACCAAGCACGTTGCAAACCAGGTGACAAACTGAGGTTACAAAAGTGGGAAACACCTAATTGCTAAGCATCCCTAAAAAATTAGTGCAGTGCACTTCACATCTTGTATGAATTCTGTGGTAAATCAGAGGACTGAATTTTGTTCTCCTGGGCTTTAATCAATTTTGTCATGAGACAAAATTTTTCTTGATCAGATATGGTCTCAGTCTCTCCATTACTACAAACCAAACTCACCCTCAAAGGTGGCCCATCCACTCCCTGCTTGGATCGAGAACAGTATGAAAAAGAAGATTCTTACCAAGCAAGAAAAAATTCCCCCAGCACATTTGCAGAAGGCGGTTACATCAAGCTGCACAAAGCCACTCTAGTACTGTTTGACTTTACCACTTCAATAATGTTATAACACAGGTTTTCTTGATAAGCAAATGTCTAATCAGGGTGTTTGGAATGCATAAAACCTTCAGAAATTGTGTTAGGAAGCATGATATCTGCCAGCCACAATCACCAGCTCCAGTGCTGGAACATGTAGACGATCCTCCGAGAGGTCAGGGAATAACTGACAGCATATACCATCCTGTCTGCAAACTGGTATGACAGAAGAGTTGTTTGGTAGTGTTTGATTAAATACTCACTGACCCCAAGAAAAGAAACATAATTTCAATCCTGGACTCTGGAAATTAAGTCTCATAATGGTAAGTGTCAAACAATGTCAACAAAAGGCTCTTGAAAAAGACTGTGATAACACAGAAAGACAGTTCTATCACCTCGCTTCCATTCATCAGAGACAGCAGTTTCTGGCATATGGAACATCATTCCATATATGAGTATTGGCCAACAAGCCTCACATTTTTCATTAAAAGGTAGGACAGTGACCACGGTGCTGAGAATTTTGGAATGGATCAATAAATAGCAACAGGAAAAGGTACAGACAAACTGCAAACCCTGTCAAATCAGCCCTATTATCAGCAAAAACTGGAGTGTATCCTGCTCAAAATCAGGGTTCTTCTTGTTACATTAGCACTCTTCTGATGTAGCTAGACTTGTTTATCTTAATTTAAAAACTGGGATTTGGGTCAAACAACTTTAAGATGAGACAGTCATGCTGTTACCATTTCCTTTGCCATCTACCTGTTTGTGACTTTTGAGAACATCTACCTCATTTCAGAAAGACATATCACCTGACTTATCCTCCCAGTCCCAACTACAGCCCTGTTACTGGGTTTGTGCCACTGGACTGTGCAGGTAACTGTAGATAAAACAGTTCCTCTGCTCACATCTAATAGCAAGAAAATTTTGAGCAATTTAACAGTAAGAGAATTTGAGCAAATGCAAAAAACAGTGAAAAGAAGACTGATGATAGCATAAAGGATAAACTAAACTGGTGACTATGCTTTACATAATCCTTTATTCTGAGGTCCTATACAGGAGTGGAATGAGTTGTACTCAATAAACAACAACCAAACAAAAAATAAACCTAAAACCAACAGAAAACATAACCAGAATCTACTGCTGTGCAATCAGTTGGACAAACAGTCCAAATGTGTCCAGAACAGCAAGACGTTCAGGAGAATATCTGTCTCTCCATGTTGAAGATAGTAGTGTTTGTCTGAGAAAGACTACTACTTTGTGCACTAAAAGTCAGCAGTCTTGCTGATGATTGCTCCTTTACCCTTTTCCTGACAGTTTTGTGAGGGAAGCTTTGGATTTGAACTCCAGTCACAACAGCTATATCCCACCATTCTCAATCACCCATGGTTAGACTCCAGAACCAAACATGCATAGTCCTGATGATTATATTTGTTTATAATCAGAGAGGAAACTATCCTTCCCTGTCAGACTTCTGGGTACTTTTGTTGTTACTTTCAGTGTGATGATAGGCATGAAAACTGAGCAAGAGTAAATGCATTAATGACAGACCGGATGCAATTTACTTATCTTGGCCACGTCTCAAAACTGTGATGGTCACCCATCCCTGCTGATGCAGGCATTGCTGCCAGCACTCCTGTACCAGCCAAAAGTTCTGAACATATGACTCTGCTCTGGGGAAATAAAAGCAGCAGCTCCACTTCCTTCATTAATTATGTCTCAGCCTTTTTCAGAGCAAAAGATACTGCTCACCACTCCTTGGTCCACTTATCTCTCTATTGCTTAGAGAAAGTAACTTGAATTCTTTACCTTCTAATGAATCAAAACCAAACTGTTATTCCCACTCTCACTGGAGGAACAGGCATCATGAAGAGTCTGATGACTGAAGACAGGGGTTTTTTTTACCTCTGATAAAGTCCGAGCAAGAAATGATGCAAGCTTCCCTTCTAGTTTGCAGAGTCTGCAGACATAGTAGCCAACTTCTTATTTTCAAACTGAGCACATATGATATAAAAACCATCAAGGTACTGGGACAATTATCATGCAATTCTAAAGATACAAATTTTGCAGTCACTTTAGAGGAGAACAGTGTTTTTAGTCTCTTCTTACTCTTTAAACATTTAATAGTAATCCTATTTTATGCATATTAATTTTAAGTCATAAAGAGATTTGCAAGGGTATTGATTTCATTGGGAGTTAAGGGCTAAATACCTTTATTTGGAGCCACAGCCTTCATCCTATTAAATCTCTACATTTATTGTCTGCACACAAATCATTATAAAACAGGCATTATTCAAGAAAGAACTCAATAGCAAGAGAAAGGTCCAATTAACAAGGAATTCAATGCAATTATGGAGGTTCGGAAGTTGCCTGGGGTTGTGTTTGCCTGCAAATCATTGGGGAAAGATGAAAAGGGAAGAGTTTGTTTCATCCCCCCTTCCAAAGTATTTTTTTTTTTCACTTCAGGTCTACATTATTAATTTTTAAAAGCTGAAGTATCAGGACTTCTACAAAGTCACAGGTTAGGAACAAAGATGCCATGAACTGGGTTTCTGGGGGATCTTTATTTTGCAACACTGTCATCAGTGCCGGGGTTATCCCTATCAATAGCTAAAAGCAACAGACTGGAGCTCTTGTCTATAGCTCTTGGATGTTTGTACATAATTAAACTGGCTTTTCTGACCCTAGTCTGTAGACATTAAAGTCAGGTCAGCACAAACAATCCTGGAATGTACATTATAATGCCTAAACTTCTTACATCCACTTCCACACCTATTTATGGGAAAAAAGAAAAAAGGACTAAGAACAGAGGGCCAACTGAAATGGACACTGGCTAATTAAAGTCAGGCTTTTTAAAGTATTAGAACCTGCCTTATTTTATTATTACAGACTCAAGTCTTTCTATAAAAAAAATGGCACTGTAAATCCTCCAGCTAACAATGTAAAGTCAATGGATAAAAGAAATCTGTCAGTTTATATACCCATTTAAAAAAGTTGTGGAAACAGAAGGATCACAGTTGAATACCTTTGTGATAGCATTGAGGCATTTCAAGACAGCATGTATTTCTTTACACAGTGTTTTTATGGCCTTTTTGTGTGTAATATTGCGATGGGCTTCATACACCTTCTTACACCAGCAAAATACTGGGCTGGTTACAAACACAACAACAAATATGTTCAGTGAACTTTGAGAGCTGCACATTCCTGCTTTTCAGCATGCAACTGCTTTATCCCCTGTGGCAGCTACCCACAGCTTTCCAGCTTGGAATCAGGCTTCTGTTCTCAAGGTGGATTCAGATATATTATGATACATCACTCTTGGAAGGATGATGTTTATTTTCGCAGTTTTTATCCCTAACATTTTCCTAGAAAGCAACCAGCTGAACTTAGCAAGGGTTTCCAGGGTGACCCCAATGGCCCCAAGACACTTATGGCTCTACTCAGCATGCAGTGACACAAGGCAGAGATACTGGTTCCTCCATCTCAGTCCTCCTGAGAGGGATAGCAGCCTGTACATACATTGCCAAGGCTGAAGGAAAGATACACAGTTTGAGATGGACCTTAGTCTGGCTGTACTAACTAATGTCCCCTGAAATAGAAATATGGTTGCAAAGAGTGAAGGATGCTCAGG